TTCTTTTCCAACGCAGTTTCAACTGGATACTTAAGTTGAATTTTAGTTGAAATATATTGTGAAACAGAACATGCGTGAAATGCAGTGAACTCAATAGGGCATTGGTGTCCGGGCTCGTTGCCCGTTTTGACGGTACTCGCTGGGCACTAATGTGTACACACATGGGTATACACGCCAGACTTCGAGCATGGTGCCGGTTTTCTAGTACAAATTGGAGACCTTTAACTTTGTTCACTCCTTAAATGTACGTGTGTTCATTTCTCATATCGGTTCTGGGGCAATTTATTGCTTTTTACTCGCAGCTGCGCTCACTTTAAAAGTGACGTTTGACAGTACACAATTTCATACTTACCGAAGGTACTCAGGCATAAGTAGAGGTGGCATAAGTAGTGGCGGCCTTGGTGGATAGCAGTCTCCTCGATACTGCATAATTCTTCATATCATAGTTAGCCTCGGTCTATAAAAGTTAGTATTCATTGCCACTGAAATACTAATTTTGTACTGTGACTTATACGTCTGTATTTAGTTCGCTGTTGCCAAATGCCAATAATTAACCACTATTGAATTACATCTTACACACTCGCGATTAATTTTTCGACATATGTTTTAATAACACAAGAAACCTCGTGTTTTGAAGTAGAAGAATCTGCTTGGGGTTCTGGACAAATGCTGGAACAGCTTTCATGTTAGACGTCAGTCAGTATCATTTGACATTTTTCTTATCTCCCGCGGTCCACTGACCTTACATGCCAGAGGTGTGCATAATTTTAACGTATACAGGGCACCAACAAAACTTAATAGTGACTTACGGGACTGGTAAGTGTGTGATTATATTCTAATATAAAGCATTCACTTTAGATTTCGGATTCAAAATCTCCCGAGACCTGATTAAACCGGGTCGTTTAGAGTAAATGTAGCCTTGCTGTTAAAAACGAGTACTCTCAAACGACGACAATTAAATTCGATAGTTGGGTCATCTAGTTGGCATCAAAGTGTTACCCTCGTGCATGAATGGATGAAGTAAGAAAACTGAACCGAGTTTTGTCTGCCGCAGCAAATGCCGCGGACTCAACTTCCGTATAGCAAGATGGTCATTGAGTATTGATGACGTGACTGACAATTAAAAGGGTACCTGATGAAACTCCACGTTTTAGTAACAGTTGACTTGCTCTCAATAAAGAAATTGAATATCAATGTGCATAGCAAAGCAATTTTAACAGGTCTCTTCGAAATGTATTGGCTGTGAGTTGACCTCAGTTCTTACTTTTACTGAAAAGAAATTGAAGGATCGGTCAATCATCGTTGGATTGGATTGCCTTGCAAATCTAATCACACTTGTTTCATTGGGACAAGATTTAAATTCCTTTAACTTCAGGTGACTACGTACATTGCCATTTTCTTCCGCCCATAAATTGATATTCAGGTTCTTCAGTTAAAATTCTGCTGGCAAACAGATGGCTGAAACAACGCTGAACTGCTCACTACGATTAAGGTCATAGAACAACGTTAATTTCAGCTTTTTTTATTGAAATTATAGGTGTACTTCTGACCTAAGTACCATCTACAGTTATCGCAATTTATGACATCGATCTTTGATCGGCAGCAGACCTCTAACTTCTCTTAATATTAACAAGCAAACATAGTCTTCAAGAAAGACACTGCAGACCCTCCAATATGGGTAAGTTCTTGATTGTGCTTTTGTTTAATATTTCCTTTGACAGACCTAGAATATTATATTGCTCTAGCGAACATTTCTTTCTACTATTTCCGGGTGATGTGAGCTTTAATTGTGTTATTCAATATTACTCCAGAGTGTCAATGCTTTAGAAATTTCCCGTTCTAGAGAAATAGCTAGAAATGGCATCGAATGCGTTGCAAATTAAAACCTTTTCCGCTTACCTATGTTTGGTCATTAATTTAGTATACTTTGATTTCGCTCTCCGAAAATAGCAAGCGAACAATTCATGTATTAAATAAAGTTTTCACCGTTCATTTACCCTTTACTAACGTTGCAATTTGAAGCTAATAACTTTACTTAGCGCACTTTTCCTTAACGCTGGATTGTCCTGCCTTGTATTTTCCCGTCATATACGCGACAAAACCTGGAATAAAAACTAGACTCCCCCCCCCCAAAAAAAGAGTAAAAATAGAGTAGGAGCGTATAATCTAAATCCCAATTTATGTAAATTTCAGTGAAAATTAAAACACTCAACAGGTTTCCGCAACAGGTCCCACTCGCATGAACCTACACTGCTATTGAAGCAGATAGTTGTATGTAAACTGCCCGCGCACACTAAATCACACAGCTAGTTATAGTATTTGCAGAGAACAGAAGAAAATACGGGGTAAAATCCCTGGACGAGTTTAAGCACTATAAAGCTTCTTCCGGGTCACGTGCGACTGCGTTTCAAGAACACGTCAACTCTCCTCTAAATGCGATTGGTTTCCAAATCTGGAAAACAATGCGCAAAAAGCCCAAAACGGAGGGCGATCTTGCAGCTTTCGGAAGACCACACGGGACTAATTTGCAACCGGTTGGCAAAACAATAAACAAACAAAGTTAACAATGGATTGGGGTCCAGTTAAATCAGAGGTTCTGAAGCGCTGTAAGGCTACTGAAAACGGATTCACATTTTGTTCACTTTGCAGTCCACATATGTTTTGAAAATTATTGAGGCAAGACCACTTAAATTATAAAGTCTAAATTTTCTGAAGGGAACTTTGTCAATGAAAATAATTTTGACGTTTATAAATGCATTTAACAAGAGGTTTGAAAGAGGTTTGAAAGGGTGGAATTCCACAACTCGAGAGGGAGAACAGCCTCCTTTTGAACGATGTACAGAATCATAGCTTTTTATATTATAATAAACAATCCTAGGAGACACCTTAATCCGCATCTGCAATAGATACCATATTTGTTATAGATCACCCCATCCAGAAAGGCCTAGATGCGAGTCATCAGCTGACAGGGAGTGATATCACCGAAAGTCAGCTCGCGGAGCAGATTGGCCTTAAATGGAAAGACCTTACCACAGATCCCAAAATGGAAATACAAAAGTCATCAGAAATACAAAACAATAGTATTTTATTACTTCCATTACATCCCTGTTTGACTACGCCTCTCACCTTTACTAGCCTCCTACAAGGACACTGCCCGTGTTTGGCTAGCCTGCGTAGCTCATGATTTTTTTCTTTTAATGGTTGGTTAAGAAAGAGATACAGCCGTGCGAAAGCTGAACCAATTAGGTTGAACTAGAAAATGATGAGGGAGGGAAGGCAGTAAGATAATAAACTGCCTGCATCATACCCATGAGATTTTTGAAACTCCATTGCCAGCAGATGGAACAATCAGCATTTCCTGATTGGCTGACAGAATGTCAACCTGTCAGCAGATGTCAGATTTCCAGTAGAGACAAAGGAATACCATCGGTTGTTTTGTGGTATGTAGTTTCTGACATGGTTTGTGATTGCTCAACACAAAATATTGAAGGCCAGTATTTTTAGACGTTAAGAAGCTCTCAGTGCAGTTCAATAAAACTCCGAAGAATAATAATTTACTGTAACTGTCTTTTTCATTTTTTAGGGACATTTCCTGATCCAAGAAATGAAGAGGTTACAGAATTACAGCTCTCTGACATCAGTGATGACGTAGGGACTTGCTGGCGTGTAGTTGGCTCAAACCTACTCATCTCAGCATCAAAGATTCATAATCTCGATGATGAGTATAAGGCTAATCGAGACAAGGCAAATGCTCTTTTGATCTCGTGGAAACAACAGGAGGGAAGTAACGCTACAGTTGGCCATCTAGCTGATGTTTTGGATAGTGTAGGAAAAAGGAGCATTGCTGAAAGACTGCTTGGTGGGTGAATGAAGTAATGAAGTAATGTGGAAAGAACAAATGATTCTAGTCAGTATTCAGGGCTGTGCTCTAGCAGAACCCGGTGGCCTGGTTCCGTAATTTACTGAGTTGATTGATCTGATACCAACTGTTACGAATTCCGTAAAATAGTTACTCTTTTGCAAGCTTACAATCTGTTAGCTTTGAGCGCTTACCATTTGTATGGAAACCCGGAAATTCCGGGGAGAATTCAAATGAAATGGTTCATCCCGTTGGAATTTTGCGGAAAAGAAGTAATACCTTTCGAGGTATTACCGTTTTCCTGTTTTTACCGAAACGACCGAAAGTTTCTGTGCCATTTGTTTGGATTACTAGTGCCAGGCTTCATGTCGAGAGAAAGCGAAAAATTTACCCGTATTTTGTAAATGGTACAAGTCAATCCAGTTCCTGTTTTCGGTGCCAAAAAAAGTACCAGTGCCATTTGACGGAATTTTTCACCGAAATTTCCGTACTAATGTTAAGCACTCCTTGCTTAGTGTCCTTTGTCTGACAAAATGCTTCCTTCAAGTCACATTTGTTGTTTTGGTTGTGATTCCATGTAATTTAGTAATCTGAATATCTACGAAGCGGCTGCGAGAGTATCATTAAATAAGCCGGATTTTGAATAAACTCATACTGCAAGTCATTTTATTTTTTGCAATGATCTTGCTTCCGTTTGTATTTTATTGGTGATAGTAAAAAAAATTGCACTCCTGGTGCCTATAAAACACTAAAAAAACCTTTGGAAGCTTGAGCAAAGGGCAACTCGTGTGCTTGACTTAGCCCTTGTGATAACAGATATCGTCGGTGAATAATCATGTTTTAGTTTGTAGTAGCAATTGAGATGTTGTTGCATTTTGACTCAATGCTATTCCCATTCTGATCAGGACTTAGTTGCGTCAACCAAAGATTAAGAGGCGTGGACACTGAAGAATCAGACGCGCCACATCAGGTGAGTTTGTAAAGTCTTGCATTTTAAAGGTAGAAACAAGAGCAGATTATCATTTGCGAGAAATTGTAGGTTCAATTCATATTTTTCGGGCCAACAAAGGAATGATTAGATTAACATCGCAACCTAGAACCAGGGAGCTGACATTATTAATGCTTCTCCTTCTTCCTTTTTTCAGATTAACAGCTGTGATAGGATGATTTGTGAAATGAGTGACAAACTAAGAGCCAACCTTAGAGAGGTATACAAAATATCCTATCCATGGGAAGGAATGGGAAACGCTTGCCATCCAACCGGCAAAAGAGTAAAATGATTTCGTTATTTTTTCGCTTTTTTTCCAGTTTTTTAAAAGCCAAGACGATACATGTAACAAGCTGATAGATGAAATGAGCGACGCTCTTCGAGTGAGCTTATGGGAGGAGGTATAAAAGTAAAATAGTTATGTCGATAATTGACTGATTTGCAGTGAAGATCGGATCCCTTATCAGTCATTTAGGCTATTTTCACACTGAACCGGAAAGCTTTTGCTCTGGCACAAAAACCATACCGGATAGGGCTTCTGTTGAAACAGTAAAAACGATGATCCCGGCGCGATTTTTGTAACGGAGCCGCCGAGTCGTTCTCTAAAGTGGAGGGTCACCGGCATATCAGATAGGTGTTCATATATATTAGGGACTTTAAGACACCACGCCGGCGATGGTCACGAAAACGTCCCTTAAAAAAGTGAATTTGCATTCTTTCAATCTCTATCGCGATAACTCCAACTCGTTAACTTTGTCAAACCCAAGCGAGCTCGTTTTGAGCCGAATTGCTAAGAACCATATTCAAATTCAGAAAGAGAAAGAAAAAATTTAGCTGTCGCTTATTTACGTCCTCCATAAAACGTGAAAATAGGAATTTTCCCGTTTTAAAATGTTGCAGTGACGGCAAAAAAGATGCACAGAAAAAGCCTGATGTATGTGCAGAGCTTTTGTTTTGCCTATTCAACCTGTTGCTTTTTGACGTTCTCGTTGTAGATTGTAGTCGTCGTCGTGGCATCTTAAAGGGGAATGTTGGCCATATCACAATTGTATCGGATTTACAAAGAAAAGCAAAGAAAAAGACAAACAAAGTATCCAAAGATTTTAACTCCGGTATTTATTTCGGGATCTTCATCTCGAAAGTCTTCTTTTCGTTTTGCGCCGGGACAAAGAACAGGCAGTGGGTCTATTCAGTACTATTTTATTAAAATCTCTATCGCGACAACTCCAACTCGTTTACTTTGTCAAATCCAAGCGAGCTTTTTTGAGCCGAATTGCTAAGGACCATATTCAAATTCAGAAAGAGAAAGAAAAAATTTAGCTGTCACTTATTTACGTCCTCCATAAAACGTGAAATTCGGAATTTTCCCGTCGTAGTCGTGCAGTGACGGCAAAGAAATGTAAAAAAAAAAGCGTGATGCACGTGCAGAGTTGTTGTTTTGCCTATTTAACCTGTTGCTTTTTGACGTTCTCGTTGTAGATTGTAGTCGTCGTCGCGGCATCTTAAAGAGCTTACAACCGATATAGAATGTTCCTTAATGTTTCTTTTCGTTTCTTTTTCTGTTTGTTTCATAGGTTTCCAAAGTGGAGGCCAAAATTAAAGCCCTAGAAATAGAGCTTTCAGAAGAAAGGCAAATGCGCCAGGACAAAGAACAAAAAGTGGGTCAACTCAGTACTGTTTTATACTAGTCATACAAGATGCTTCTTCAACCGTGAGCGAACAAGGATGAATGATCGGACTTATAGAAATGACCTCACCATCATTCATTCTTACGCCGACGATAGCATAGAGCCTTACTAACTATAAGCCAGTAAGCTAAGATGAAAAGGGTGTTAGTTCGAGACTGGCAGTCTTCCGTATGTTTTACTTCGTTGCTTCTTGGTCTTGCAGGTTTCACAGCTGATCACTAGAATTGAGGGATTAGAAGAGGAGCTTTCAATTCCCAAGCAAAAAGGCCATGATGAGATAAACGAACAACAGGTGAGTCAAAACAGTTCTAAAAAACAGCTGCGCGAAACGCTGCTGCACTTTTCAAGTAAAACGAACTATGAAAAATGTTTTTGAGTACTGTTTGTGCTAAAAGCTTTAATAAGCTCTTGATGCGCTCATTTCAGGTAAATCGGACCTAAAGAAACCACTTATAATAAACGGTGAATAGCAATAGAATCCTCATTGCCCTTTTGCATGGAACTTAATTAACCCTCGGACGTACACACAAATTAATACCCCCACCGTGGTACAAGGGAGGAGGGGTTGATGGAACCCCTCCCCGGAGTTTTTGATATGTTGAAGTATTTCGAAACGATATTACCTTCAGTGGAAAGCCTTTGATCTTCTCTACAAGATGAGATATATTTTATGGGTGGTAGTCAACTTGGATTTTACCAAGAACTAGAAATCAGGTTAAAACCGCGAGAAATAATAAGTTTTTGTGCTTTACATGAAATATAACACATAAATAAGCACTTTGCATGGTTTTAGCCACAAGATTTAATTTTATTGTTGAAAGAAGTAAAACAAAAGATGTATTTTTAACCAGAAATGGCTTGACCACCGGCTACTTATGACGTCATATCTCGTAACCATAGCAACTGATCGTCCCTAAACTTGTCTCAAAATTTGTGCGAGGGATGAAAAAACAGCTACTGAAAACTTCAGCCGCCGATATATTTATCCCCTAGGAAGAAACTCAGAAAATCCTTAGGGGGTGGCATCCACCCCCTTTTCCCCTCCCTGTACGTCAGAGGGTTAAGATATTTACAAAATCACAAAAAGGTAACTTATTTTTTTCTTTCTTTTTCCACATATCTAGCAATTAAGTTTGAAGTTAAAAGAAATGTGATATAGATTTTCTGAATATCCGGGTAGCGCGTACAGAGCCGCCAAAATCGGCAAGTAACAACACAAGTTTATTCGTCCAGCATTTTAGCCGAATTGTCACACATTTCCGGCTTTTTATAATCACTGCAGGAAGGTGACCTAGCGACGGATACAGATCAATTAGCTAGAGATCGAGAGCATTGCATTGATGTTCGATTAAAAAACATCAACGAACAGCTTCGCATATACGTTACATCCCCTCTTCAAGTACAAGAAGTAAAACAAGATCAACTAAAAACAGCAGTTAAACTTGATCTACTGACACATCTTGGCAAGCGGTTACAAGAGTTTTATACGGAGGCTTTGAGAATGGTTAGAGAGGCCTGTAAATGTAGCGAAGACTTAAGGAAAGACTTCTATGACCTTGTCTACCATGGGCTCAGGGTCGAACACTATGAGCTGGTCCACAGAGTCAAGGATCTGGAATCGTCCCAGGAGGAAATGTCTGAGGAGGAAAAGAAGAAATTTGACAAGCTGCAATTTTATCAGAGAGGCCGACAAAGCCAAGTAGACCAATTGGACAAACTGTGGAGTTCTCTCTTTACCCCGGTATGTATCTGTGTTAACTAACGTTCCAAGTTAACGGTTTGACTTTAACTTTATTTTAGTCAGCATGTATACTGTTAGGTACTGTTCAATTAAAATAAGGAAAGAACAAGACCGGTAGGCGGACACATGAACGCCATATCAGTCTACCATTTGGCACGGCGAAGGTGCAGTTACTTGGATGCGTAGTAACTAAGCTAGGAGACACCTCTTTTGATTTGGTATAGTAGCGCTCTGCGCATGGGCAGAGGGTAAAACCTCTGACAAAAGTTAAAATTTATTCGTCATTTCCGTGTTAATAGAGCGAAAATATTGTTCAGTCAAATTTTTTAGCCGGTCGAAAATTCAGCGTCCAGTGCCGTGTGAAGGTAACCTTAATGTTTTCCCCGATTTCCAGGTAATTTACTAAAACAACTCACAAAGCTGCGTCTCGTCGTTTTGCAATTCACTTTTCGGTGTCGGGATATGGGATGAAACCGCCCGCGTCTCATGTTTTTCAAGTTATATCCATCTCGGCAAAACTGGGATTGCGTAGGAGTCTTTCCTAGATCGAATAATTAATATAATATATAGTATCCTAGGTATTACAACTTAATTTAGCCTTGAAATAACCCTAACTACTCCTTTAACTTCCAGCCTGGTCGCCGCCAGAAGACCGCAATGTCAGCGGATTCGATGGGTCAGAACAAACCGAGAGACAGTAAAAAGGTAGATAAAGATTATTTATAATGGAATTTATATAGCGCTTATACATCGCTGTTCTAACAAAAGAAAAAATTATTGTTTTCTTTTCTTGATGATCAGTGTCCTTTGCGTTAATCCTTCATTTGCAGAATCCTCCCATGACAAATTCAGTCGAATTCAATTATTCATTCGTTCCCTTTTTCATTCATCTCCTCATCCATCTATCCATCCATCCATCTATCCATCCATCCATCCATCCATCCATCTATCCATCTACTCCTTCCTTCCTTCATTTCCTCTTTCATAGTAGAGGAAAGGCTTTGTTTAGTTTGCAAATGTAACTGTATAGAAGACGAAAAACAGTAATAGAAGACTTCTTTATGTATTGTATACTATAATATCGTATAATTCAGTTTCTGTTAATGTTTAGATAATTTGTTGTAGTAGTGAATTGACCTTTACTGTAACTAGACCAATACCTCCCTTTTGAGAGTAAGGCGCAATGAAAATATACAACCCGTACTATACTGCTGTACTACTATTCGTGCATTTATTCATTCATTTAAGCAATCAATCATTCTGCTTTCATTAATTTGATTAGCCTGGTAACCCAAAGATATCACCGGCTCTCAATAAGAATTTGCAATTGTGATTACCCCTGGATACTAAGTAGAGAAAAAAAAAGGATATAGAAAAATATTGTTGTTTTTCCCTTGAGTCCCTGACGTGAAAACGAATCCACACTTTTTAATGTCTGAAGAATGATTTTGTATACTTTCGCTACAGGTCACGAGATACACTGACCCTGGCGACATATGGAGAAAACTTAAGCTGCGTGGAGAGGACACAAGACCTACAGCACCCTCAACTTCCAGCTATGGCCAACCAGAAGAAGAGTCACGTTTGAATGTAAGTATTTCCTCATCTTTTTCCATTTTTCAGTACGTACCTCACTCTTTCCCCCGTCACGTAAGGCGCATTTGATCATATTTACACGCTAATTTGCGCCAAAAGAGAAATAAATTATTATTAATTACTATTATTATCATTGACAGACCCCGGCTTCCTTTTATAATCTATTTTGAGGCCATAGTTTCCTAAATATATGGTGCCTCCTTTTGATGTTGCTCAATGTTTTTGCACATCATGAATATCTGCGAGATTTAGTTTTCTAATGACGGTCAGTTTCCTTATACTTGTATTTTACGTCTCCTTTCCAAATTGCTGCACTAAGAAGAGAAGTATCGATGATTAGTCAACAACTTGTGTTCAAGCCCATCGCCCAGAATTCCGCGACATATCTCGGAACATTGCAAGTTACAGTCTTCCAACTCTACACAGTTCTACATGCGAGGCTTGCGAGTCAGGCCTTTTAAAATAATAATATTCATTGATAATTAAAACTTTCAAAATCGTTAGGCTGACACTTACAATGTATCAACCAATTTCGTTCATCGGTCTCGTCAACGGTCTTCATCGTTTGTTTTTTCCCTCACAAGTTATGAGTCGTGATCTTACCAGTTTTCATTCCATCAGCTCAGTTTTGCCCTGCCTGCAAATGAGGTTCACTTTCTATCAGCACATCATTTTACACTAACGCACAATACGTCATGTGAACTGCTTTAACATCGACGATGTTCAGTCACTGAACGTCGTCACTATGGTGGTTTCTTGGCTTACCTTTGCCATTTGATGCTTATGTGTTGGTCTCCTAACTACGAGTGAAAGACAAGTTCATTGCATATATATCGGGGGTGGGGGGGAGTGGTTAACGACGTACTTTTTACTTATACCACTTATAATATCACCAAACGGTTTTTTTCACCTGCTATGGTGAAAAAATCACTTCTTGTTTTTTGTGTCAAATATTGCTCTCGGACTTTTGGAATTTCTATACCAAACCTATAATATTAATGTCTTGATATTATCTTTCGGCCCAAATATCTGAGGCGGCGCAGTTACCACCAGTTTTTTGTAAGTTTCAATAACCATGTTCAGATCACCTTTCCTGCGTAGTCAATTCAAGAACTGTGCAAAATAGCTGTGAGAAATCCCTTGACTTTTCACAAAGCAATTATCTCTAATCTAATAGGAGATAAAAGTTAACTGGATGCTATTATAAAACTGACTGAATGTTTTTTTGTTTTTTTTTTAGCTGAGGAAAATGAATTCAACCGTCGGATCAGTCATTCAAACCATTTCCAAAAAGAAGGAAGGTGGCGAGAAACCGATGCGGGATTGCTAATTATTATTTGTACCGAGTAAAATGATAATCTATGATGTTTCCGTTTTTAGGTCCCTTTATATTTAAACCCTCCCCCCCGGGGGGTACTCCTGGAAATTCTTGGTGGGGATGTGCCGGTCAGTTCTCCAAATCCTGACCCTTTTTCATACCAAAAGGTGACATTTTTCACACCCTTTTTTAGACCTGGCCGCAAAAATCCGTACCCGTTTCACTGGCCTTTAAGAAATAATGTCATAAGTACTTAGATTAGAACAGCAGCCAAAAAAGAAATCTTCAAATCCACTTCGAATTCGCACTTTTCTCTTTCTTCCTTAGTCATTTGGAATTGAAGCAATAAATACGTTTATAGTCACTACCATAATTCTCTCGAAAACCATATCCGAATCTAGACTAAAATGGGCAAAGTCTATATCTGTTTTCAGACCAAAACGGCGCAAAGACCCTTCCCTTAAAGGTGGCACATAACTGTATGGCTTATATAAGGGAGTATCCCCTGGGTATTTAACCCGGTACAACATGCATATTAATTTTTGTAGAGAGGCATTGGTATAGCAAGAACCTAGACTTCTCGATTGCAGTACACACTTGACAAAGTTACAACAGTTGACCGTCTTGCAGCGAACATTCTCTCTTTGTGTTAGAGTCTCGAAATAGGGTTCTATTCAAGCAAAACGAGGGGAACTCACTGTTAGCTGAAACAAATAGCCCCGATTTCAATATATTATACTTCTTATTATAGACCTGATTCCAATGTATCATACTTCTTATTATGTAGCTATTTTATTCTCTGTCCCTGGTCACCAACAGTTTAATTCTCTAAATCGGGTTAAATTTAAGCGGCCAATCCGCAATAACGAGGCCCTACGCCCTTAGACGGCTTTTTTATTTTATCTTAGTGNCTGACCCTTTTTCATACCAAAAGGTGACATTTTTCACACCCTTTTTTAGACCTGGCCGCAAAAATCCGTACCCGTTTCACTGGCCTTTAAGAAATAATGTCATAAGTACTTAGATTAGAACAGCAGCCAAAAAAGAAATCTTCAAATCCACTTCGAATTCGCACTTTTCTCTTTCTTCCTTAGTCATTTGGAATTGAAGCAATAAATACGTTTATAGTCACTACCATAATTCTCTCGAAAACCATATCCGAATCTAGACTAAAATGGGCAAAGTCTATATCTGTTTTCAGACCAAAACGGCGCAAAGACCCTTCCCTTAAAGGTGGCACATAACTGTATGGCTTATATAAGGGAGTATCCCCTGGGTATTTAACCCGGTACAACATGCATATTAATTTTTGTAGAGAGGCATTGGTATAGCAAGAACCTAGACTTCTCGATTGCAGTACACACTTGACAAAGTTACAACAGTTGACCGTCTTGCAGCGAACATTGTCTCTTTGTGTTAGAGTCTCGAAATAGGGTTCTCTTCAGGCAAAACGAGGGGAACTCACTGTTAGCTGAAACAAATAGACCCGATTTCAATATATTATACTTCTTATTATAGACCTGATTCCAATGTATCATACTTCTTATTATGTAGCTATTTTATTCTCTGTCCCTGGTCACCAACAGTTTAATTCTCTAAATCGGGTGAAATTCAAGCGGCGAATCCGCAATAACGAGGCCCGACGCCCTTAGACGGCTTTTTATTTTATCTTAGTGTTTTTCAGAACAGACCTCTTGAGCTAGGGTGAGAGACCTGTTTTTTTTTTTGTTTTTGTTTTTTTCCAATTATTTACATACAAATATAGCGTGGTCAAGAGGTCAGAAATCGGATGTGCAGTCCGTACGGACATAGTCCCGCTCAGACCAATGGGGTGGTTTCTCAGTACGTACACCGCCTGAGTTCAAATTCCTGAGACCATGTTTGAAAATTACCGACTGGTAGGCTCCGTACGCCTATTTAGTACTTTCACTTGAACTATTTTCTTTCTTATCTAATGTTATTTGCTCAATTTTACTAGCCAGTGTCGCCCAGGGTTTTGGGTATACGGTATCAAACATGACTTCGGGTAACGGTATGTTAGGTTTCCTTTAGGTTTGAACATGTGCTGAGAAAAATTTGGGCTGAATTTCGGTTTATTGATAAGCTTATTTAAGGTATTATTATTCCCACTGATCGACCTTGAATAGCTTGCTTTATAATCACTGTGCAGGGTATGCAAAAGGTTATTCCTGTTATTATAGTTAGCTATCGCAAGAAAAATGTAGAAAAACTAAGGAACAGAGAGGACGCACCTTTTGATTGAAATGTTCAGTGTTCACTTTAAGAGGAAAGAGAAATAAAGTGGGTGTTGGTTAGTTAGTAGCATCAAAGGAAGTAATTATGCTAGCACGACTTGATATCTCAAGTTTAAGCCTTAACTACATCGCCGTTACCAAAGATTACAAAATACCGGAAAGTCACCACAGTTGATGAAGATGAAAATTTATCTTGATCAGTATTTTCAGGGCTTCGGTTTATAGCAAAGTACTTTACAATCTCCCTGAATCGACTTCATTGAGTTTTACAGGCACATTTGTTTATAACTGTATTCTAAAAAGAGTCGCTATATAACATTAGAATTTCCATAGCAACGTTATGACGCTACCGCCTAGTTACTTTTAATTTTTTTTTTGGCAGTGGAAAAACTTTGAAGTAGCCACGTCGATGTCAGCCTGAGCCACAGACGGAAACAAGCTTCTTAGTTACGTCCGACTGCGGAACAGCACCGAAATACTTGTTCTGGATCCCCACCTGTGTACCAGGGTTTAAGTACGCGCCATGATTGGCGTGATTGATTGATTTGCCAATCACGTTGAAGGGAAGTTGAAACGCATTGTTTCCGGTAATTCTTTGTCCGTTGGGGGCCCAAAACAAATATATCGGCGTTGCTTCGCAGACGTTACTAACAGGGGTTAGATTACTACTGATAACTGGCTAATATATGCGCAATGGCAATGTGTTTAGTTGCCTTAAAGGCTATCAATGATGATGAATATAGAGAAACAATGGGAAAGAGAGAAAACAATTTTTTTCTCTGGTCGAATCAGAAGATAATTTAATAGATATTAACTTTTCTTACCAAATTAAAACACTGTAAATAAGTCCACTTGAAGGCGTGATTTAAAGTTGATTAATAATTTTTTTAGTTTTATCCCTCTGGATCTGGCTAAAGTAATCTCAGCTGTGTAAATTTATTTGCGTACAGCTTGTACTAGAGAGTGTGCATTAAAAAAAATATTAGTTCTGGCACCAGTTGTTCAAAAAGGTGGATAACGCTATCCACTGGTGAGAAGAAATCCTGCATTATCCAGTGGATAACGCGGTTGGTTTCAGAAATACTTATCCGATGGAATAGCACTAAAAGGTAAAAAAATGGTAAACGTCCGTATTTTGCGTCAGTAACAGGTAACAGTACTTAGACTGACAAATGTGAGGCCGGCGGTGCGCTCATTTTACCCCCTCTCCTCATCAGTGCTCCATTTTACGTGTTATTTAAGCTACACGTCAAAACAAGTCAAAACAAGAATTTGAGGTCACACTTGAGAATCGAACTCGAAACGTCATGCACACACAGAAGGTGGTGCAGCAACCTTTATTAGATGAAAGTAAGTACTCAAACCTCTTCAGGGGTAAAGTAGGACGCAAGTAAGTATGAATTAAGCCTTTCAGACGGGTGGGGTCATTTCCGTTCCACATGGAACGATGAAGATATTGCATTTATGTCTGAACCCATTTAGCTCTCAGTTTAAGCAAATTCAGCTAAAGGATAGATCTCTGCACAGTCAGGTAACTCATTTTGGAAATTCTGATCAGTCCTGCTAGAGTTACTCACAAAAATAACCACTAACTTGCTGTGATATTAATCTACTGCCAATTTCGCTATTCACGAACTACTCCTTCCAGGTTAAATTTTTCCCCTTACTGGAAAGAAAGATAGGAAAGTGCGCAAAAAAAATAGATGGAAAAGGAAAGGCAAAGGAAACAAAGGGAACAAGAAGGACATTGAAATAGAATTGCCGATTGGCATACGGCAAATTTTGACATATGAGCATCCGCCAAAAACAATTATCAATCACGCTTAATAGGATCCATTTCGAAGAAGATATACCCTTTGTCTCAGTTTTAGCCATTTCCGTTCTAAATGGCGTAAAACGGTCAAAAAGGGATGGTTTGGTAAAAAAGCCGCTTATTTTGCCACTGGATGATCTTCGCCAAATGGTTACTGCAAGAGATACAGTTTGGATGGCAAATAGTTTAAAATCTCTGGGGACTGGGTCGTTAAGCAACCTGGTAACTGAGAGAAACCGAAAGAAACCCAGAGCATATAGTTCCCGGATGTCCATAGCCTATGCATTGTATGCACTAAGAAGTGTAGCGCCCTCAAGACCCCATAAGACTCGTGCTAAATAGCTCTTGAATACGAAATCAATTTCGTGCATTTAGTTTGCTTTGGAGCTATTCATTTAATTAATTTGCAATTTCCGCTTATAGACAATAGAATTTCTCTATTTTAGAGTTTTTTAAAGTTAAGGCTATTCGCGTATATTGCAGATGGGTCCGCCCAAACTATGGTCATTTAATTTTTTCATCGCGCACGTTTACCATATTGGTGTCCCAAAACAATGAAACGGCGGCCTTGTTGGTGTCTTACATTTTAAATTCTCCACTAAACCTTCTTTTTTTGTTTTCGCTGGTAGCAGAGGCCTCATATTTCCCTGGTATTCCCGCCCGATCATAATCAATACTAAGGAAAATAGGTCTCTGTTAGTCTCTGGATATACGAAAAAGGCTCGAGTGACTACACACTTGGAAAACAGGATGGCGCGGACACAAGTGACCTTATGACAAGTACAACTTCAGACCATGTAGTCAATCGAGCCTTTTTCGTGCATCCATGACAGCGCCATTTCTGATGTCGTCAGCTTTTTGAACAGTTTATTTTAAGAGGAGTTAGGGTTGAGATCCCTTGAGGACTTTGTTTCATGTAAATTTCCGGGAGCGTCTTATTATTG